AAAAAAAAAAAAAAAAAAAAAAAAATCCAAGAAAACCAAAAAAAAACTATGTTATGCAGACAAATAAACTGAACAACTTTTGCCTGAGGGTTACAACGAAACTCTTCACCAAATTTAAAATGAAAAATAAATTTCAAAAATATTTATTTATTTATTTATTTTTTGGCCCGGCCGGGCAAGTGACCCCGGGCCACTCTGGTAGCCTAGAAAAAAGGTCAAAATCCCCCAAAAAAAAAATGGGGTTGTAGCATATATATCTATATTTTTTGGCTTATTAGTTTTTTTAACTTTTTTCAAAAACAATATGATAATTCATCGGCCGAACCCAACCGCCCAGGCCGTGACTGGCGGTCGGGATCCTGACCGCAATCGGAGTTCTTCGAACCGTTGCGGCGACCGAATATTCACCTACGGACTTGTTTTCAGACGCTCACGTGGTGCGGTTGCTTGACGGGTTCGCCGATGTTTTCGAGTCTCCTACCGGTGTGGTGCCGGATCAGCCGATCTCCGATGAGATCATTCTTGACGTCGGTGCTGTGCCGCTGAAAGCAGTGAAAGGTTGCATCTATCGCATGAGCAAGGAAGAGCTCGCGGTTCTCCGCGTGCAATTCGATGACTGATTGGACAAGGGCTGGATCTGCCCTAGTAGCTCACGATACGGTGTGCCGGTTCTCTTTTTACGGAAGAAGAACAAGGACCTTCGCTTGTGCATTGACTATCGCAAGCTCAACGCGCAAACCGTCAAGAATGCGGGGCCTCTTCCTCGTATTGATGATCTTCAAAGTTTGATACGGCCACAAGATCGCTACAAATCCGCGTTTAAGACGTGGTACGGTCATTTTGAGTGGGTTGTCACGCCCTTTGGCCTCACCAATGCCCTGGCAACTTTTCAAGCGGTGATGACCAACGAGTTCCACATGATGTTGGACCGGTTTATGCTGGTCTACTTGGACGACAGTCTCGTCTATAGTCTGACCTTAGAGGACCATCTCGAGCATCTTTGACGTGTGTTGGAGACGCTCTGTCACGCCAAGTACAAAGCCAACCGCAACAAGTGCGAGTTCGTACATCAATACGTCAGAAGGTGGAGTATTTGGGCCATTTCGTCACACGGAGGGCATTAGTCCGTTATCGGACAAGATTCAACTTGTCCAAGAGTTGCCGGAGCTGAAGAACCTCACGTATGTCCGTTCGCTTTGTGGCTTAGCCGGCTATTACCAACGCTTTACCAAAGGGTATATGAAGATCGCGGCTAATTTGACCAAGTTCAACTCGTAGAACAATGGTAACACAAAAAATACCAGACTATAACCCTTAACTTCCCTGGACGCACGCACGGAGAAAGTGGATCAGAATGCACCTGTGAGTCTGTGACCCATGCTAATCTTGAACTGACAGTCTCGATCCAGATCTGTGGCAGGCTGAGGGTAAGGTCCCACTCACATGATTGTATGCTTCTGGCCGTCCTGGCCGTCGGTCATTGCAATGATGCAATCTATGGTCCAGACTCCAGAACAAAGAACCCAAGCAAGTGGGACCTTGCCCTGGGTTTTATGCAACAGACTCCACAACTCTGATCTTCAGCCAGTAAAGTTCACTGGTCAAATTGACATTTTGAGTTGACTCCCCCACCAGGACTGGACTGGGATGCATGGGTGTCATTCCAATACTATCACAAAGAGGATGTGATTTGCAAAAATCCGCGTGACAGAACTGCTCACCCTTGACTCCTTGGCAAATTCTTGCTTCCAATTGCACGTTTGTGCATATTGCCACAAGGGGGTGAGCTTGCAATTTCTTTTGCATTCTCCTGTCAACAAGGGATCTGAGAGGGAGCTGCGGTATGTCGTACTATAAATAGGTCGAACAGCTGGATTACCATTGCGTGGCATTGGCACCCTCATTCAAGTTTTGTGAAGTATTCAACACAACCGAAAAGATGAGGATATGAGAGTAAGATAGAGAATTGACGAAGAACAGACAAAGGTGGCCTGCAGCACAAGCATTAAAATAGGAAACACAAGAAGAGTAGCTAGGCCTCATGCAAGGATACTGTGTTCACAAATTGAACTGACTCAGACTGATAGAAGACGATGAAGAAGAAAGAAGGAGAGAGAGAGAGAGAGAGAGAGAGAGAGAGAGAGAGAGAGAGAGAGAGACTGAGAGAGACCGAGAGAGACCTGTAGGAGCGTAGGAGGGTAGGAGGGTAGGAGGGTAGGAAAAGGCATGCGGCAGAATGAGCAGAGCTCGTGAACACACCCGAGATCCCTCTCCAGGGGAAACCGCTTTTCGCCTTCATATTCCACCCACAGTTGACCCGACTCCTTATCCCCAGGCCTCGTGTACCTGGCATCAATGAAGTGACAAGGATAGTCAATGAGGCAGGTGTTGATATCGAATGTCTATCCCAGTCCTTGTGTGATCCTATGATTCCTACCACATCCATCCTTATCCAATCACAGTCAAATGTTCATCACCGCAGCTGTGAGCCTGTGACTATCACAACTTCCCAAGACGTACAAGGATAATCTGCCACATAACTTACAAAAAAACTTCAAATCCGTGCAACACACGACGTCACACGTCCCGTATATCTAACAATGTTCACTAATCATTATTTACAATAGAGAACTTCAAGAACACGCTCAGTGAGATTTGTAAAATGTGAAACAAACCCGATCAATGCGATCATGATCGGATCACCTGTTTCTTCCAAACGGCACAAGCCACATGCAAATTTCGCATCACGTCACCCTCACCATGCTGTTGCAGTCTTGCAGACAATCTTGCTGTTTCAGGGATTACCACTGGGTCTAGTTTTTTGATGAATTCTCCTTACAGTATGTTCTTTTCTGGATAGACTACTTGGGGCCAAGCACTGTGGGCGCTATGTTTGCGCTAAGACCAGACGAAGATGGCCCTTCTTCTGGACCAGGTTCATGCTGTCACAAGAAGAAGACAGCACAAGTAGGGCCTGGTCCAAAGAGAAACATCCAATAAGCATATACCAACTTTGGCCAGTTAGCTCAGGGAGTCGTAATCAGACATGCATTGAGGATTTTTTTCTTTTTTTCTTTTTAACAAGGCTCCAATCCATTCATTGGGAGCAGCACGTGCTTGGAACCAGACCCAGCGTCCCGCCGTCCCATACGAAAGTTGTAGAGAAGAACTTTCAGGTACTGGGGTCCGGGCCCTGGGGCCATTATCCGGGTTCGGCTGAGAAGAACATGATCTTGTTCACAAGGCCATGAAAAAAGGGTCAATTTGGTCAAATGAGCAGTGTGAAGAGCCACTTTATGATTTTGACATTTTTTCTGTCACTTTGTGATAAGCCACGTACTAATCGTTCGGGATAGCTATCATGACTGCCTCTCGACTGTAGGACAAAAATGCCAATGACGCCACAAGCACCCTGACACTGAAGAAAAAATGGCCACTCAGCCCGAGAGGGTTGGCCATCTGTACCTGTTCCGATTGTTTATAATAACTCAGATGTTGTGGTTCACCATCGTCAGTCAGCGGCCAGGGTCCAGGACCCAGCCCATGTGGCTGAATGTTACACACATCGATTGACAGGCACAGTGTCTGTAATCAGCACTCGAGTTTGAATCCCGACAGGAAGGCGCGGAATAAGATTAGTGGCTGCCCCCTGGTTCATGAAAAGGAAACATAGGGGGTTAGGGTTTAGGGTTTAGGGTTGCTTTCGGTTGGGGAGTAACGTGCGGGATGCAGTGTCAACTTGAAGGGTTAAGCATCAGCACCGCCCTCGATGTGCCTAGAAAGGGGTTCTGCAGGGACACTGTACACAAAAAGAGGGGTCTGATGGGCCCTTGCTTTTCAGAAGCTCCAGAAACTCAGAAGCAAGCTCGGTGCTTGCCGATTTTGGCATCCCTAACTTTCCCTGTTCTTTTCTTTTCTTTTCCCTCAGAGAGTCGGAGTCCTTCCTTTTTGTTAACTTTTCAAAATTCTTGCATTTGTTTAGATGCCAGATCCAGGGTTTGACTGCACGAAAGTCTTCAGAAAATCTGGGTGAGGGTTTGAATTTCAAACTTTTGACTTTTCTGGAAGTTTCATAAAGTCAAAGATGCTTGGCCCCACAAAGAGGTTAACCCAGCCAGAGATGATTGGACTGTGGTTTTCAAGGTGTTCATCCTCCCAAGAGCTCAGAAGCACGTGCAATGATTGCAGGTGGTGATTGATCTCATGATGAAGAGCTTAGCGCACTCGAATGTTTTTTTTTTTTTTTAAATCAAATTGCTCCAATCTTTTCGTGGGGAGCAGCACGTGCTGGGAACCAGGCCCAGCGTTGATTGGCCAGTGGAAAACTCTTAGAAGTGTGTGCGAAGGTTCCTAGAAGTTTGCACTATCAAAGGTCTTAGTTCCCATGCCAATGATGTTCGCTGCGCACAGAAAGAGGGGGGTTGCAGCTTAGGGTAGGTTTACTAGGGTTTAGGGCTTAACATTTAGGGCTTCCAAGAGAGGGTTTATGTTTTTTTTTTGGCAGAGAGTTTGGGGTTAAGGCTTGCGGCATTACCGCCAATCATACGTACGTACTTCACTCCTATCACAGTACAGATGAGTCCAAGAGGTGTCCGGATGATGTCACCCGCCTGCGTGGGGAAAACAAAGCACAGGATAGGAACAGCGGAAGACGTAAGTGTCAAGCACACACAATGAAAACAATTATACAGACTAACGAGTTCAGTCAACTTTTTCTAAGGGATTGCAAACTCAACAGGTAAGTCTTCGCACGAGGACTCTCTTCCGTCACTGACACTCACTGTAGGCATGAACGCTGTCATCATCATTCAGGATAGTCCCAGTGTAAGTGAACGCTGGGGGCCAGTGATCCTCTGAAAACCAGCTTGAGCAATCCTGCTCGCTTCCTGGTGATGGTGATGCATTGCAGGCCATACTCAAAACATCCAAATCAGTTGAAATCACCCACTTTGTGGCCTTTGATATGTTGTGTATGTTATTGACAAAGACTAAGTGCAAGG